TTAATACTATAAAATAATCATATCTATTCTCATCCAAGACTTACCATGATAATACAACATTTCACGGAAAAACAAGGATGAGCTGCGCTTTATGCTGCATATAAACGAGGGGTTGGATCAAGTGGCAAGCGGTTTGTTCCAGCTTAAGTGAGATTTCGAGTTCGAGAATTTGTGTATGCAGCAGCTTTCGTTGGGAGACCTACCCGCCATTCTGGTGCGCCACAGCTGGTCGAGTCCGGAGTAGTCAGGGCGGAGCCCTGGATACCGGGTGGGAAACCAAAAAAAAAATAAAATAAAAAATAAAATAAAAAGTATACTCTATGTATAATAGGTTATATTTCACATTTTCGTTTTATTATCATAATAATTTTTTTTTGGTTTTGTCATAATTAAAAACAAAAATATCAATAAAAACTTTGAAATTAAAAGAATAAAGAGATTTGACAAGAGTGAAAACTAAAATTGGCATTTAAAATGTTAAGATTGCAGGTAAAATATTTCAAATATCATTAATAATATGTAACTATTTTCAATCATTAAGAGTATTAAAGTCTTTTCTTGACATTTAATTGGTAGAATCATGATTTTCTTCGAGGTTTAACCATTTTCCATTTCATTTATAACAAAAACTTCTAATATTCTGACTGATGTTTCGATGCCACGTGTAAAAAGCCCATTGCTTTTCTTCAAAGCTCCAGCTACTCAGCAGGGCATCCTCTCCATTGATCAACAACAGAGAGAGCTTATTGTCTTTTCTAGCTGCCAGCAGTCGTACACTTTAAAAAAAAGGGCGGAGGCGAGATGGAGAGGAAAGGAGCGTTCTAGCAGAAGAGGAGATGGCGCCGACACGACGGTCAAGAGGACGCCCACCAAAGGTGCTTTCTTGCATTTCTTCGTACCCATTTTCACACCTTACTGGTCATCTCTGTTCTCTTATTTCTTCCAAGTAAAAAATAAAAAGGCTTGTTACATTCATTGTTTGTTCATACGTTTTCCTCTTATTTTTCTATTTTTGTTTCATTTTTGCTCTACTTTTCTTGTTTGGATCGGTTCTGCAGGTGGGTCATACACGAATGGATGCAGCCTGGGATGCAATGCGGCCCTTTGGGTTCACGCAATATATGGTTGTGAAAACGGTCAAGGAACTCTTGGAAGTGAGTTTGTTCGGTTTTCATTTTTTTTCTGTTTGCAGTGTTCCTGAAAACGAAAAAAACACCTAGGGTTTCTTCTTTCTATATTTGGGTTGAAAAAATGAGTTTGCTTTCAGGTGTATGGTCAACAAGGATGGCCTTTCATTGAAGAGTTCTCCTACAAGGTCTTGCTTGAAGCCATTCTTGACAAAGTAGAGGCACGGGAAAAGAAGAAGGTAAAAATCTTCTTGGCTTTGTGCTAAATTCTCTTCATGTTCTACAAATATTGGGAAAATGAAATGAATTCGTATACTCATTATTCTCTTGTTAGGTGGACTGGGTTATGTGATGCACATGAAAACAGGGGGTGGGAGTGTGGGGGTTTATTCTTTCCATTTTGATGTTCTATCTTGTCCTTTTGATTATCTTATTCTTGGTAAAATATAATGTTAGCATTGAAGTGTGAGTGCCCCTAAATGCATCTCAATTAAAGGGTGTTGAGATGTTTCATTAAGTAATCCGACTTTGTGTGGTCAAAGGTGCTTTTTCCAATTGTAATTTCTTCCTTCATGTTAATTGGTTCAGATTCAAGGAGGGTTTTTTAAGCAATCACTAACTGATTTCAAGATCTGTACAACTGCATAAGCAGCCTCATTAGCTGTATGGCCCTGTGAGGTTTCAACCTGATCATGCTCCCTTAATGCATAAGTAGGATGTATTGTATTATGGTTAAAGGCTTTATTAGGCTGCCAATCATGACAGAGCAAGTTGAGCTTATATAAGGAATTTTGAAGTTCTGGAGGAGTTTGTGTTGTTGCTCCTTCTTAGGTCTGCCTTTACTCTTTTATTTGATTCCTTATATTTGCTAATATTTATTTATTGAAAATTTGCTTCTAGGATGTCTTGTTTTGATCTGCTACTTGTGCTCAGGAAAACTGATTTCAGTTTTTGGTTGTCCTCTGTGTTTGTCTTGGTAGAGGAAATCCATTTTGGACCTTTAAGGAGTTATATGAGTAGACATCTGATCTTTTTAGGATCCAAAAAGTGTTAAATGTTGGTCTGTCCATTGAATTTTCCTGATGAAAGTGAAACATTTCTGTTCCTTATTCCACTTAGATAACACTTCTATTTGATTTTCTTGACGGATATTGGTGCTTGTGAGTAGTAAATTAAAGTAGTTAGTCTTGGTTCTATCATAGCAATGACCTCCATGGATGCTATAAGCAGCCTAATATCATATTATCCTATGCACTAAATCTGCTACTGTCACATTTGCTCGTGCTTTGTGCATCTTCTCTGGTATTCTTCTACAAGAGTGCCCTGAGGATCCTGTGCCTTTGTTTAGCTTCTCAGAATTTTAAGCATCTAGTTGTACAGAGAACAGCCATGACACTAATCTCTAGTTCCGAGCATTCAATATCAATAACATTTATACTATGAGTGTAATTGCCGTTTCTGTTTTCAATCGTATCAAACTTTTTTTTTTTTTTTAAAGAATGATGCGGATGCAAGTGCTTCAAACACATTAGCTGTTGAGACCCCACTTGGAATTACTGGTCCTGCTGCTTGCTCTGATGATGAACCCATGGTTGGTGAGTTCCAGGTCACTGAATCCCCTAACTCTGCAGCACAGACTAGCAATGTTGTTCACCCTGAACAACCGGGAGACACGGACATTGGAAGCTCAGTTGGAATTACTGGCCATGTTGCTTGCTCTGATGACAAACCCATGGTTTCTGAGTTGCAGGTCATTGAAGTCCCTGACTCCGCAAGACAGACTAGGATTGTTGTCCTTCCTGAACAACCGGAAGGCTTTGACAAGACACAGGAGCGCAGATTTTACCATGGCTGGATTAGTAACAACTGGGAGAAGGATCTCGTGGAGCTAAAACCAGGACCACTGGCAGAAAAAGCAGCAAAGCTTCTCCTGGGAAATGTGCATGAAAAGCGCAAGAGGTGGGATGTTAAACCTGAGGATATGTAGGGTTCATTAGTCGTCCAATCTCACTTTCCTTGTGAATCATCATGTCTGAAGCTTTGTGACTCTCTTTAACGCTTTATTTCGAAAGCTATATGGTATTTTAGTCTTGTTTCTAGTCACAAACTCATACTGAATGGATAAGAAAGTTTTGTACAGTTTGAACTCTATAACATAAATTATTAGGTGAAAATGAACCTCCTGCCATTAAAGGCCAATTTAGAACTATGAATGAGCTGAGCTGAGTGAGTACTGGAATGCCCAAGCCCAAGCTTGACTTCACAATAACAAGCTGAACTCAAGTTTTGTTAAACTCAAAAAAATGAAACTCGAACTTGGCTTGTTTAGAGAAAACTAGAGTTTCAGCTGGGCTCGTTTGCCAGATAAGCCAAGCTTGGATCGAAGAGCTTGGAAACTATCAACTTATATATAATTTAAAATAATTACATTAAATTAGTCAACAATCTAAATAATTCAGTGATTATATATTTTTTATTTCGAGTCGTATGACATGTGGATAGGATAAGATAAGAGATGAAAAATGATTGCTTCTCATTGTACAACCAATATAAAAAAAAACATTAAATTAAATAATACAATTTATTAATCTTTTACATGTAAATGAGTTACTCAGTAAGGGTTCACGAGCTTAGCATACATGCTTGAGTTCAAGCTCAAGCTGGATTACTTAGCCAGCTTGAAATTGATCTCAAATTTGATTCATTCAGCAAATGAACCAAACTTAAATCAAGCACTTAGTGAGTAGTTCACAAGCCCCTTGATTCATTGGCATTTCCATCAGTTATTACTCATTTAATAAATTTTAGTTTACAATTTCAGACGATTTAAATTGTAAAATAGAAAATTCATGAATGGATTTCCTATTGCCCCATTGTATCTAAAATATATTTTACAATTAACGTTTCATTTAGAATGTTAT